TGCGGTTTAATCCGGAAAACTGTTGAGTTTAATAATAATTCCTGTAATAGTATTAATCTTAGCTCTAAGTCTAACTGTACTAACCGCGGAAATCTTTCGGAACAAATATATTTACTTTATATCATTTTAATTTGTTAATTTTATTGTATTAAGACACCTGCATGCGGCTGCGTTTACTGCTAGAGGTCATATATGGTCGAGTGAAGTATGTGGTCGTGAGATCTGTCGTTACAGTCGTTTAATTTTCTCGTTTCAGTCGCTTTAGGATTACTTATTATATCGCTGAAGAATTAAAAAGAAAACACTTTTTAAATGAAAACTTTAAATAAAAATAAAAGGGTGTCAGAAATTTGCTTGAAATATTTGTATAGAATTAATGTAGGATAAAGTCCGCCCTGTATATAAATAAGTCTGTTTCTAGAGAATCACATTTTACAACACTTTTAAAGTTGCGAAGCTAATAATTCCATAAGTTCTTTGATTTTTTATAATTTGTTAGTGTACTACAAGTATTTTCTATTGTTTAGTATTAAATTACTATGAACATATTATATTACTTAAAAGGTTTTATTATTAAAATAAATATTTTTATAAATAAAAACAAAAATTACAAGAAACGTGTGTTGTTACATCGAGCGCAGCAGAGTAAATATTGGGTCAATCGATATGGAAGGTACTAGATATTATAGATGCGGATTTGCAAACATGTAACAAGGAGTTTCATCAATTTTGCGAAAATATAGCGTATGTATAGAGTATACTATACAGATTCAAATACAGAATTTAAATTTCAACTTTTATTTGCTGTTTATTTAAAATGCCAGAAAGGTTAATATTGTATACCATTTCGTTAAACTAGAAATTATTTAGACAAAAAGAAATAAAATAAGACTAATTTAAAATCAGTCTCTGTGTAAAGACAGCCTGTTATCTTTCTGTATTACTTCTGCCATGGCAATGTCTATTTTCCTGTATTCTTCTACTTGTGTGTTATTGATCTTTCTTCTCATTTCTCCTGGCCTTTCTGAGTTGTATCTGTTGTCCCAAATCCGTATTCTTTTGTTCTCCTTAAATTCTTATTTTCTTTAGAGTTTGTATATGTATTTCTATAACGATTTTTTGTGTATTTGTCTCCTGACAAAGACTATCAATGTCTTTGTAATTTTTCAAATCTTCTAACGCTTCCTCAAAATGTCTGGCAATCAATTTTATCAATTGTTTCGATGAAAAAATGTATTCCAAATGTTTGGCGTTGTTGAAGACCTGTAACGCATAGGTTTTTTCTGGCATTTCCATCCATTCATTGTATCTATAGTTCTGCAGTTCTTTGTTGAGTTTTAGCTGCTGGATTTTGCCTCAGAAATAATTTAAAAATCTTTTTTCAAAGTTTTTCCAACTAGTACATTCATGTTGTTTACTCTCAAACCATAGGCTCGTTTCATCCTTGAGATGGTTTCTGATATTTTCCTTAGATGCTTCGAAATGTCAACATATTATAGTTTTTTTATTTTAGTATTATTTCTTCTATCTCCAAATTTTTGTTGATTTTTATTTTCTGTGACTTGTCTTTTCACTTGTTTAATTCTTGTCTCCACTTCTTTTGTATCTTCTTGAATAGCATTCTCCAACTTGATTTCCAGATTCTTTAGTTACTTTTTCTGGCAATTCTTTATCTCCTTTATTTTATTTTTAATTTGTTTAATCTCTGTCTCCTGTTTAGTATTCTTTAGTGTTATCTCGCTTTCGTCCTTCCTTAAAGATGTTTACCCGGGTAAAGCTCCAGGTTTTGACGGCATTTACCCCGAATTCATGGCTATCACATTTCTTTACATTATTGAGACCAGCAGAGTTTCACGGGAATTCCAACACTCAAAAGTCATAGCAATACTAAAACCGGGTCAACCAGTTGATCACACAAAAAGGTATTGAACAATTGCTCTACTATCTATAATGTAAAAATTACTCGAAAGACTAATTTTTAACAGAATAGGTCAACAATGCTTAAAGGAATATTCATGGATGGAGAATACCTCAGCCATCTAAGATTTGCAGACAACATCATTGTGATTGCTAATAATCCTGCAGAACTAAAAGAGCTTATAAGCGATCTAAATCTACCTAGCAATGAAGTTGGCCTAAAAATGATTTTGACAAAAACAAAAACTATGTACAATGAGCTAGTGTATACCTGGGACAATTCATACATAAATCTTGCTCCTTACTTCCATAAATTAACAAAAGAATCAAACTAGCTTGGAGATCTTTTGGTAAAAATGCAGTTATATTCAAATAGAAGATGCCAATCCACTTGAAGAACAAAGCCTTCGATCAGTGTTTACTGCCAAACATGACATACAGCTGCGTAACTTGGACACTAAGGAAAGAGATAATATCAAAACTTAAAGGCACTCAAAGGTCAATGTAACGATGTATGCTAGGTATAACAAAGAGAGATCAAAAAAGAATAGAATGGATCAGGCAGAAAACCAAGGTTATTGATGTATTAAATAGAATTAAATCTTTAAAATGGCAGTGGACGAGACATTTAGCGAGAAGAACTGATAATAGATGGTCCATTTGAATTACACTGTGGTATCAAAGAGGCGTCAAGAGGCCACGAAGACGTACAAATTTAAGATGAGGCTATGACATAAGGATATAAGTCGGTACAACATGGCACAGAAAAGCGAGTGATTTATGAGGAAGTATCAATAAGCCGCAAGCCCTTATGTCTTGGCGTAATGTTCCATCATAGGATGATTAGACACCAACCGTATTCTAGTCTAAAATCATTGTTTAGCTATGCTTAATTACAGACTGCTTCTGGACCAGCACATTTATGGCAAACAAAATACGACTATTAGCTGCGCTTATAGCTCATATTTTAAAGTATTTAGCATAATGCAAAAACTAGAGAGAGATGGTGATGAATGACTAAAATTAAATTCTGCTTCAGAGTTTAACTCTTGTTTTTAAATCAAAGAGTACAAAGATCAGCTGTCCTTGTATGTATTTCTCTTAAACTATATTACCGGCAAACTAATATTCCTTTAAACTTCATTTGTGCTAATTTAAATATACTCCGCCAAAAAAGTTTTGCATCACTTATAAAATTACAAATATTTCTGACAGCATTTGGTTAATTTAAATTATTTCTTTCTGGCCCATAGGAATATTAAGGCCAGAATAAATATTTAAAAGAAATTTGTAAATACAGCTTACTGTTTAAGAAAAGAATTAAAGAGCAAGTGGTTAGAATAATTTCCCTCGTTGAAGACGGACGAAGTCAGAGATATATGGCAAATTTAGTGGGTGTAAATCAGTCGACAGTATCACAAGTAAGATACCAGGAAACTGGTCTTTATGAAAGGCGAGCTGTAACAGGTCGTGCAAGAGCAACTACGCATGTCAACTTCAAGATGACAGCCGAGACTCGAAGTGTCTTTAGAAACTGTTAGGCACATCTTAAGACAGTCTAGAATGGACCGCAGGAGTGTGACGTCACGACTGTCACATTGTCATTATTACTTTCCAAACAAACATTGAAATGTCAAATCCCAAGACTTTTTAATTTCTATAAAGTTAACATTTTGCTTCCTCTGCTGCTTTTTCTTGTAAGTATAGTGTTTTTTACGAAAACACCATCATAATACAGAGTTCTATTTCTATGAAATATAGTTTAAAAGTTCTGAAACTGAGAAATTCTAACCTTACTTTATTGATACATGCATTTTATTGCTATTAGCGTAAAACAATGTGCTTTATTATTTACACAACCTTTTAAAATTGTTGTAGTAACTATTAGAATACTTAAATATTGCAAAAAGCGGAAAGATTCTATAAAATAAATAAAAAAATAACGAAAAATACAAATTATCCACACTAAACAAGGTTTGTTTGGAAAGTGAAACTGACAGATGTCAATAAAACTACGTCATCACTCCTGTGGTCCATTAGGGCAAGAGTAGCTGCCACTGCGCCGAGACTTACAAGGGAACACTGTATAGCACGTCTAATCAGGTCTAATATTTGCAAGAGAGCACGTAAACTGGAATATCGACGACTGGGGTAACATACTCTTTACGGATGAGTCAAGATTTTGTTTATACACTTTGGATCGAAGAATACCAGTTTATAGACGAGATGGCGAGCGATATTTTCAATGCAACCTAAGACCGGCAACAAACATTGGAAAAGGATCTATTATTCTCTAGGCAGAATATCTCTTAGGGGTCAAACCGAATTGGTACAGCTAGATGAAGGATCCTTAACTACTGATAGGTACATTAGAGACATTTTGGAGATGCATGTTGGAAATGCACGCCCACACGTCGCAAAAATCGTTACCGAGTACCTCCAAGAGGTAAATTTACAAGTTTTGAATTAGCCAGCACACAGCTCGAAATTAAATCCAATAGAACATGTTTAGGACCATCTTTACAGAAGGGTGAGATCTGATACTGTCACGCCAGCTAATCTTCAGGCACTGCAACAGTTGTTAACCGTAGAATGGGATAATATCAATCAAGATTATCTAAGAAGATTAATTGGAAGTATGCCACAACGTTGTCTAGATGTTATAAGAGCTTAAGGAGGCAATACGTGTCACTGAATTATCATTACTTTTTATTTTGCATTTTTTTTTATTCAATGCTGTTTGTGCGCTTACTTCTAATTTATGAAATAAATTAAATAAAACCTTTGTTTTTCGTACATTCTGCATTTTTCTTTGAAAACTTGTTACGTACTTAAACAACAATAAAAAATCCATGTTTTAAAAATTTCATAGGCGATGCGATACTTTTTTGGCGGAGTGTATAATAATTTTGAAAACGTAAAAAAATGAGAATATCAAAAATGTTTTAACTGTCTCTAAATCTGTTTATTTTGCTACCTTTGTTGGCTAATATTTGTATACAATGACAACTAGTACCAACAAACTGCAAACAGGTGTTCCCAGAATAGTAATAAATAACATCAACATCATATTTCCGACTTACCTTTCCTGTACTACTAAGAAAACTCTCCCGTGCGTCACACAGAACAACAAAATAATGCCGGTGTCACGCGAAAAAGTAAAAGCGGGCGGTGGTAATACGCGGCTCGATGATGAAATTTCCTGCAATTCCAGTTTCTTTGATGCGCGACCGTTCACTTCGAACGCGACGTCTGAAACTGAACAAGAAATCGTTTGTGACTGACTGTGGGCTGTGGAGCGGAGCTGAATGCGACGCGATCTGAAACGGTATTTAATTGATTGATGCTGGTTCACCTGTGTAACCTCTTTGTTTCTGCAGGAAGAACCACAAAAGATCAGATCATCGAGCAAGAAAAAATACATTTACAAAAAAAATTATTTTATTTATATAATATATTTTGAGAAAACATGGAAATAGGTTTAAATTAAATTAAATATTTTTGAAGGCTTTTTATTTTATTTGATGTTTCGACAGGTACTCCTGGTCTTTAACAAAACTATATCTAATACTTATCTAGTATAAAACATAGTAATATACTTAACTAATAAGTGCAGCTAGAGTAAAACTGACAAAATCTAAGTTCTAAAGCTTTATGAAAATGAACTAGTTTATAATATTCCGGACGATGCAAAAACATTTTTAGATTTTTTTATATTATTGGTTGATGATGCCTTAATTAAAATCATGGTGTAAGAAATGAATAGCCAGGCAGAAGTTCTACTATAAAATCATTTAAAAGCAAAATCTTGTTTAAAAAAAGTGCTCCACGGAACATTATTGCTCCACGGATATTTCACAATAAGCTGTTAAATATACTTCCGTAGACAGACTATATAAACTTCGCCCTATTATTGACTCTACACTACAGAATTTTATAAACTCTACAGTTTCCAGTTAAGATTTGGTCATAGATATCTGCGGATAGTGAAAAAATCAGTGAAGGTTTGCCTAGTGCTATATCATTCAAATTTAAGCGAGGTAAAGTCATGGAAAGAAAACTGGGATTTATTAAAGTGATAAAATGAACTGATAAAAGAACAGTTTTAATGTTTACAAGATTTGAATATAATGGCATCTTGGTCCACTAAGGTAAAGAGAAAAATGATCCACCGAATTCACTGAAACTACAAGCTAGTCTTAATATTAACTTAGTAAAAAAGGGAGTTGATTTTAGTGATCAAATGGCTTCCTACCAATGCCTAATACGCAAAACTCTGAAGTGGTACCGAAAAGTAACAGGGGAATTATTATTTAGCACTACAGTAGTCAATGCTTGGTTGCTTAATAATAGCAAAGGTGAAAAATGTAATAAGTCACCAATACTTGACTTTCGACTGGAGCTCGCAAAGACATTGGTAAATAGAGAAAATTTTTAAACCTCACGACCACTTGCACTTAAAAAATACCTTCTTCTTGTTATAGTTCCTTCTCCTATCGGAGGTTGGCTATCATGACAGTTTTCCGTACCTTATTGACGGCTGCTATGAAAAGATCCACTGAGCTTCAACTATAACACTCTCTTAGGTTTCTTAGCCAGAAAATTTTTTGTCTTCCTATGGATCTTTTGCCCTTGATTTTACCTTGCATTATAAGCCTATATATCTCATATTTCGCACCTTTGTTCTTCTTTGTCAACCATTTTTCATCCACTCCTGAATGTAGGTCTCTCCCAATTGCTTCCATCTTTCTCTATCTTGCGCCAATCTAATCCACTGTTTGCCTGCCACTGCTCTTATGTCATCTACCCATTTTTTTGAGATCTTCCCATGCTTCTTGTTGTCGTTCTTGGTCTCCATTCTAGAATTCTCCGTGTCCACCTTTTGTCATTATATCGGGCTACGTGACCTACCACCTTTGTTAATGTTGCCTAAATGTTCCAGCATTTGGCTTTCTTTCTTGCTTTCTTACAAAAATACCATAATAATTCGATCTTAGCTTATCTCCTAGGGTCTCCTTCATAATTTTCCATATGTTATGTCCCTTCTGGTACAACGTTTAAGATTATCAGTCCAACGTGTTGGTGGACGATCTCTGCTTCTGCTTCAAGACGACGTCGCAGAATGTATAAGATTACGCCCTTCTAATATCTATAACCTTTTCCAAACCCGTCTGTAAATTGCCTTTATTATCTTTGATAGACTGAAGAATTTCGCTTGGATTTACATGTAAGTAATCTTTTACAGAACGTAATGCAACGCCTTAATAAACGCTGTCATGAATACGGACTGAAGATAATTTGAAGAAAACTAAATGCATGATCATGACTAAATCTGCACATGCAAATATCCAATTGACTATTGAAGATACTGCAATTGAGAGTGTTAATAACTATAAATACTTAGGAACATGGATAACATCAGATGTAGACCAAACCAAAGAAATTAAGACACGTATTGAAATAGCACGTACATCATTTATTAAACTTAAAAAGTTTCTTTGTTGTCGGGATATAAGGTTAGAACTACGTCTAAGAATGCTTCGATGTTACGTGTTCTCTACTCTTCTTTATGGTTTGGAAGCTTGGACACTAAAACAAGTTCATCTGAATAAGTTGGCCGCCTTTGAATTTTGGTGTTACAGAAGAATCCTACGAATATCATGGACTCAAAGAATGTCAAACATGGAAGTAACTAGAAGGATAGGAAATGAGGCGGAAATAATATTAACTATTAAAAGACGAAAACTTGAGTACTTGGGACATGTGATGAGAGGGCAAAAATACGCATTATTACAACTTATGCAGGGCAAAATCCGAGGAAAGCGAAATGTGGGAAGACGAAGAATATCCTGGCTTAAGAACTTAAGGGAATGGTTTGAATGCAGTAGTGCAGAACTTTTTAGAGCCGCAGTCAACAGAGTCCGCATAGCCATGATGATTTCCAACCTTCGATAGAAGATGGAACTTAAAGAAGAAGAATTTGTATCAGCATATTGTTAAATCTCTTTGCATATTTTCTCCATATGCCTCTTCTTGTCTCGTATACAAGCAGCCTAAATAGCTCTAGGTAGCTGTCAGTACTAGAAATGCATAAGCGGGTTCATAATTCCGGCTATTTTTATTTAGTTTTCTGCGTTCTTCAATGAGTTCCAAAGTATCTTCAGACATGCACACTTTTTTGATACGGTTCTGTAGAGATCTGGACAAACGTGTCTTTAAAAGATAGCTACATCTTTTCAAATAGTAGTTAAAATATTTTCCATGTGCTTAATATTGGTAAACATTCGTGATAAAAATATATGAGGGATTAGGCTGGTTTTGACTCGTTGTTTAGAGCTTCGCAAAATTGACCTTACTTCGCCAAGATTGTAGTTAACCTTCAATAGATTATAGTACCATAAGTTGAAGAAGAAATGTGGATAACAAGGGTAATATGAGGTGCGCATGTCCACTTCTGATAGTAAAACAAAACTTAAGAAAACAATAGGAGTAACCTATGTATACAGGAATATTGTACATGGATTAAATCATATAAATGTAAAGAATGATCTGTTTTGTTTAGTAGTGGAATTAAAATTTTAAGAATACCTGCTTCATTTATTAACTTCAACTTTTCCGTAAATATTGTGCCAAACAATACAGTATTTCCAAGCCTTAAATATCCAATGTATTCTTCTTCCTGATATGTCTACTCGTTACAAATGTTGGCGATCACCATGGTCCAATCTTTATCTGATCTGCAGCAGCGCGGAAAAGCTGCACAGATGTTGTATTGAACCAGATTCTGAGGTTCTTTAACCAAGATGTTCCTGGATTCCTCCTGGACCTCGTTTTTCAAATATTTTTCCTTGCAGGATGGCTTGAAGGAGAGCATATCTGGATTTATTTCGCATATGTCCTAAGAATTGTAACTTTCGAGGTTTGATGGTGGTCGGTACCTCTCGGTCCTTATTCATTCTTCTGAGGACCTCCTCATTTATGACTTAGTCCACGGGATTTTAACACTCATGGGGCTTATAGTACGGTAATCTTTGTATTTTTTTAGCTCCTGATTTTCTCTTTTGGAAGTGCAATAAACTCAGATTTCAGCCATTCTTGTGATATTTCTCCAAAGTTGTATACAGATTGAACGAAATAAATTCGGAACATACGAAATATTATATATTTCGGCTCAATTCTGCTGTAGGTGGTTGACCAACAAAAGGTTGTCAAATAATTATATTATAAAAATCCAATACTTCAGCGGGCTGCTGGATTCTGAAATTATAAAAATTGAAAGGTACACATAAATGTACGATTTTATTATGCTGTCAAACCACTTATAGTCCAGGAAATTAAGTATTTCACCTCGCAATTTTTTCGTCCTGCGTGGATTAACTTGAAATTTTAACAGAAGGTAGGTATTATCCAAGGATCAAAATCTATATCGAACCAAAGTGCGCCAAAGCCTTGGGGGTGGTTGCCACCCCATCTCGTGGGTGAAATTTTTTTTTACGTTCTAACTACAGATTTCGATTAAAAAAGTGATTCTAAACAAAAAATGTTTTATACATTTTTTTTGTAAAACTGATATTTTTCAAGTTATTCGCGATTCAAAGTAACAACTTTATTAGACGAAAAAATCGACGTTATTTAATCGATTTTTCGCGAATAACTCGAAAATGGTGCATTTTATCAAAAAAAATTTAGAGAACAAATTTGTAGCTTTTAAAAAGACAAATACAATTTATTTTTTAAAAGTTTTTGCGATATACCAGGAACCGAAATACCGAACGAAACACTGAAATCAATGTTCAGCGGTTTTCTTCAAATGCCAAATTTGAAAGATTCAAAGTCAAATATCGGGAAAATGATGCATTTTTGGAAGAAAACTCACAAAAACTTTTTAAAGAGCATAAATAGACCTATCATAAAAAAAGACTCTAGCTCAAAAATTGAGTGAGTTGTGATGAAAATAAAGTCAATACCTCATTTTTTTACGAAAAAAACGATGAAAACAACCCCCTAACCACCCCAATAATTAAAATCGAGCTTCACCCGTCTGCAATTCTCTTTATACATGTATTGTTAATACGTCCAAGAAGTTTGACCTATTTAAAATGCTTAGTTTTAGAAAAAGTACAGCATAAAGCGAGAAACGATTTACAATTTCATATTTTTTTACCCTTCTCCTTTTAAATATCCCCGAAAATACTGAATGTATGAAAAAAATAAAATGAACTAAATTGTAGCTTTTTTAATAACTAAAATTTTCCTTTAATTAGATTTGTTGTACAATGAATATTTGGCGAGATATAGCCGTTTAAAGCATCGATTTACGATCCAGCACCATCTTTTTCGAGCCCTTTAAACTCACCCTATTTAAA